AATTCGTGATAAATTTAGACGAGGGTTATCATTTACTACTATTACTACTCATTAAGCTTTTTGATTGTTATCAAAAATTTTTGTTTATTGCACTACACTTGAAATATTAATTAAAATTTAACAGTGTTATTCAAATGTTCAACTGTCATAATGACTGACTATCCTCCAAATGAAATTGTTGATGTGATAACGGTTTCAGGGGAATGTCGTAATAATTATCGTGCGGCAGTAAAACTTTACGCTGAACGTTTTCCAAGTAGAAGACATCCTAATGATACGACAATACAAAGTTTAACTGCTAGAGCTCATCAATGGCGCCTTGCTCGCCAACGCAGGTGTTGTGAGTACAACGAAGATAATGCTCGTATTATAACTATTCTTGCAGCTATTCATCTTAATCCTCATGTCAGCAGTCGTCAAATAGAAAGAAAAGTTGATATTCCAAAAAGAACATTTCTGACAATTTTAAATAGGCTTAATTACCATGCTTGTCATATCACGTTCGTACAGGAATTGAGAATGAATCATATGCAAATGAGGATTGAATTTGGCCAATGGGCCTTACGGATTATGGAAAATGATCCTAATTTTTTCAACTATGTTCTTATTTCTGAAGAAGCGAAATTTTGGAGCGATAGATAATTAAATAGGCACAATTGTCATTATTGGTCAAATTGAAATCCTCACTGGCACAGAGTCGTAGACCATTAGCATCGCTGGAGCCTGATTGTGTGGTGCGGAACTGTGAATGGATATTTGATTGACCCTTACTTTTTGAGCGGAATGTTGATAGACACATTTGCACTTAATAAGAGACCAGGTATCAGAACTATTAGATGACGTTGATTTAGAAACTAGACGAAGAATGCGGTTTCAGCAAGATGGTGCAGCACCACACTTTGCACTAATTGTCCAAGAATTTTTTAATCAAATTTACCATGAAAGATGGATTGGTAGAGGAGGACCACTTAATTGACCTCCTAACTCACCTGATTTAACGTCTCTAGATTTTTATTTGTGGAACTTTCTAAAGAATGTTGTTCTCACAGTATATATTTACTGGTCGGTTTATAAAAATATTGTTTGGTCCTCTATACTACTGTGGGCAAAAAGTAAGGTGAATTTTCAATTTAAACTTCGCGGGCTTAACATTTCGGGCTAGTTCTTTTTTTCTTGAGTTGGTAGGACTGCGAATGACATCTGGGACAAATTTCATGTCAATGTCATCATCATTAATATATTTACGCTTGTGTTTACCAAACGACCAAGAGTGCATGTTTCGATTTTTACAATGTCTGATTTAATTGAGCAAAGAAGTGCCATCAAATTTTGTTTGCAGAATGAAATTTCGGCTGCGGAAACGTTGAGGATGTTGCGGAAGGCCTTTGGTGATTCTACCATGTCGCAGAAAAATGTTTATAAGTGGTACAAAGACTTCAAAGAGGGTCGAGAACGTGTTGATGACTTGGAGCGCTCCGGACGACCATCGATGTCAACAGATGACCAACACGTCAATAAAGTGAAGGAATTAGTGCTCGAAAATCGTCGGTTGACTGTTAGAGACCTTACTGATATGATCGGAATATCAGAAGGATCTGTGAAAACAATTTTGAAAGACCATTTGGGCCTACGAAAAGTCAAATCTCGTTTGGTACCGAAAACTCTCAATTTCTTGCAAAAAAGTCGCCGCGTTGATGTGTGTGAAACAATGCTTTCTGACTATCAGGACAAGCTCAAATGCATGATTACGGGAGATGAGACTTGGATTTATGCTTACGACCCTGAAACAACCGACCAATCAAGCGAATATCGTGCTAAAGGCGAGGCCAGACCGAAAAGAGCACGTCAAAGTCGTTCAAAAATCAAGGTCATGATGACAGTTTTCTTCGATTTTCGTGGTGTGGTGCACTATGAATTCCTTCCACCCGGCCAAACTGTTAATAAGGAATATTATTTGAGCGTTATGCGTCGTTTGCGTGAAGCAATTCGTCTAAAAAGACCAGAATTATGGGCCAACAACTCTTGGTTTTTGCATCACGATAATGCACCATCTCACACTGCACTCGTTCTTCGTGACCATTTCGCCAAAAATTCGACGCATATCGTTCCGCAACCACCGTATTCGCCTGATTTGGCTCCGTGTGACTTCTGGCTATTCCCAAAACTCAAGAGACCACTCCGGGGAACGCGTTTTGAGTCGATTGAGGAGATAAGAGCTGAATCGAAGAAGGCGCTGATGGCTATACCGGAAAGGGACTATTTGGCATGTTTCGAGGATTGGAAAAAACGTTGGCATAAGTGTATTTTATCGGGAGGGGATTACTTCGAAGGGGATGACATTGATGTAGAAGAATAAATAAAGATTTTTCATTTTACAAACAAATTCACCTTACTTTTTGCCCACAGTAGTATATTCCACGCAATATTAGCGTTTTATGGTAATAACAATCTGGGCTTTTTTTCTGATCTTTTTCTTTTTTGTAGGTAATAATAATGTAATATAATTTTCTAAGCAATCTCACGTGTTCTAAGTTGCTAAATTCAACTTTGAAATATTACGAACAAGAATAAAAATGAAAAGATTTTAGTTCCAATATACGAGAGACAAATAATATACGACTGCACTGATCTACAGATAGTCTCGTCTGCTGGCGCGATGCACGCTTGTTATTACAGTCTCATGCTTACAATCTTCCTCTTTATTTCAAGTAATCAGCCAGCCTACCCAACCCAAAACACGTATGCTTACCCCAGCATTTTTATTGCCCGAATACAAAATCTTCATCGCTGTGAAGGTTGAGCTTAGTGCTTTCGAAGCATAGTGAAGCTTTTCCTTGCTGCAGTTTCTAAAATTAATAATCACTTCTTAATTTAATTTACGCTACAAGATTCTAAATAATTTATTTATAATTATTTTTAATGCAACGATTGCCGAAAATCGTTTTGACTCGCGGAGGTTACTGAACGGCTGAGCGTAACAGCCGCGATCGGTTTGAGAGAGAGAGGGCGCGTAGGGGCAATGACCGGGAGGGGAGAGTTTGCTAGCCAGTATGACTATGTCTTTCAGTCCGGCAGCAACATAGTTTTTACGAGCGTGAGAGTAAGAGACAACTGTGTGTGCGATTTTCCCGAGTGAGAACCCGAGTGTGGAGTGCGCGCACCGCTAAAAGTGTGCGGCTTCATCAGCGAGTGGAGCAACCTCAGCAGCATTAGCAGCAGCAAACCAAACAACAAGCAGCGGAGAAACAGCAGCGGATCAGCGAGCGTAGAGACAGCTAATCCGTAGCTAGTACGCCGGATACGGTTGGCCACCGTATTCCCATCAATCCCGCGGTAGGTGTACAATATTGTTGATTGTAATTGGTGTGCGATCCCGCGCAGCGTGCGCGGTAGAGTTATTTAAAGCGTGCGAGCGTTTAGTCCGTGACGATCGCGAATTTCACTCTCTCTCTCTCTTCGTTTATATTGTCAGTCGATTTAGCGTGCGTGAGTCTCTCGGCAAATCCCTCCCGTGTAACATATTAAGGTCAATAAAGCGGTCAGTGGTTATTCCTAAAGATCGTATTGTTTTGTCTTCTCTTTGTCCGTGTCATTGTTTACGTCCAATTCGAATAAGCCGGTAAAATAGCACGGATTACGTAGCCGAAGTAAGAGGCGGTTCGCCAACTGAGGTACCAGCATTAGCCAACGGAGCGCTGCTAAGCAAGCGCGATAGCGCCACCATCGGAGGGATCGAGAACCCAACTTCGATCGATAGTAGAACTCTGCGCATGCGCATTCCCGGACAAGGTGAGTTAACGTGCTTACGGCACGTAGCTAACACGGCGTCGTTTGACCGAACTAATAGACACGTTTGATAGGTTCAAGGTAAAACGGCAGCCTGTTACATTAAATACTTTTATACCCGGTCCTGTATAGTATGAATTTATATAGTACATTTTGATAGAAAATAAGATAAAAATAAACGTTAATAAGCGTCCTGATTTTCAACAATTTTAGTCGTCACATAACAAAACTACTAAACCTCTAACTTTTAAATCTTGCTTGCTGTGGTGTAGACAGCACTATTTCAAAATTTTTCTGAGTCATCATATTACTGAACTAACTATGCTGATGCTTATTTATTTTTAACTTAATAATATGGAGAAATTAAATTGACCTGTCTAGAGCCATAATAATATATCAGCAATATAATATTATTGCTTTTATCCATGGGAATTTTCATGTAGTAGAATTTAATATCTATAAGCTATGTTACAATGTTATTTAAATAAACGCTTAGATTATCTATGTCGATTCTTACACAGAGAAGACCTCTTATCATAGGAGATACTTTGCTCGAACCAGCTTGCTTAATAGGCCAATGAATATAAAAGAATCAATGGGTCATGAAAGACGGGAGGGGCTTCGCTAAAATCGACATTAATTGCTTGTCTGTTTACAGAAAAAAATTTTCACTTCTTCTTATTGAAATTTGTAAAATCGTTGAAATGTTAAATTTAGATTTATCTGGAGACTCCATATCTTACTATTTTTGAAGAATGCTTCTGACTGCACTATTTTAAATTTACTCTTGTACTTAAGGTATTCTTAGTGTTGTATATTATGCTTATTTAATCATCGGTACATTTACTTTACACAAATGCAATCTGCAATTCTGCGCTATTTCTTCTTCAGTAAGGTTGTTTAGCCAATAAATTACATTTTGGGAGCATATTTTTTATAAAATTTTTCATCTTGCTGCATCGCACAAGCGACTATGCATGCAGATATACTTTCATATGTTGTAGAATTACTAAAGTTTGTCTACTGACATTTTTGCTATAATTCATTGATATTTTTACTCAGATTTTTAACCTCCGATTATAAATCTTATTTACAGTATTTATATATTTTAAAACCTTACTATAGTTCACTATAAATGGCCTAATCGAGTACTAGCAAGTGATAAAATATTTCTAGTAATTTAATAAATAAGAAAAAATAAATGGTTATTCCAGGAACAACTTGCCGAGCTGGAATCGGCATTTGCCAAATCACATTATCCTGATATTTATTGCAGAGAAGAACTTGCCAGGAGTACAAAATTGAATGAAGCTAGGATACAAGTGAGTGAGTTTTTTTGCATGATTTTTGAAAGAATGTTATTGTGAATAATTTCATAATTATAACGGATTGATATTCAAAGAAATAATTTTGGCATAGTTTTGAATAATTTTTTATAAAACAAACGTGTTATAAAAGAAACGTGCTGATTTTTAATAACAAAATTTTATATAAAAATACTGTACTAAAAAATTCATCGCTATAGTTTATTTTTTAACATTTACAGGGTTAGAATACATTTTTTTAAATATTTTTTTCAGTAAGTGGTTCGTTCTTTAACTGATGTATTATTCGCCAATTTGTTTTATAAAAAAACAATGGAAAAGTAGGAATTAAAGCTCACTTATTCTATGTGAACATAATAAAAAATTATTATAAACAATGGCTTTAGAAATCCTGTAGATTAGCGTTTTAATTGTTTAAACTTGTCAATGAGAAGCTCCCTCAAATAATATGAAATCACAAAAGTTTTTGTTTTATAACCTTAAAAATTTAATGAAAAAAATGTACCGTTATGAAGTTTTCTGTTATTAACTTTCAATGCTGAAATTTGAAAAATTTTAGTTTCTTCTCGGCTGGAATCCAAACAAGACAATGACCTAACAGCTATTTTTGGCGCGGCTTCCTTCAATTCGTCATAAATTTTTTTCTTGTTCTCGCTCTCAATTGAAATTAAAATATCATTATGAAATTCAAGTTACAGATTTATGGCCGTATTTATAATTTTTTTTAATTTCTGCAAATGTCTATTCCAATTTCTGTGATCGTTGTAAAATATACAATCTATATCACAATAACACAGGCCGATAAAACTTCAAAATGGAAAAATCCCAAATACGCGATAGTATATTTTCGTAGGTTCTTAAAATTGATCAATTAGTTAAGGTGATTGATCAATTCGGTTGATCAATTTCAATAAAAGATTCTTTATATATCCTAACCTAAAAGTACGAAAATTCTGATTTTTGCTATGTTCAAGGTTACGTAGCTCCGCAAAACATTTTTTCTAAAAACAAGTAGAATAATGACAAATCAGCACTCTTGTAAACTAAAACTTATTTTGAGGATTGAAATTATGTTTTCTCTTCATCGAAATGTCATTGACTGAATTTAAGTACTTTAGCAGTTCTGCATCAACATTATAACAGCCTAATTACCAAATACCCCTGTAATCTGTCACCATATAAGCCTAGAACCTTGAACTTCAATTGCCTTAACTTCCGACTTCTATAATCTGTGATCACATAACCTCAGACACTTGGACCCCGATTGCCGTAACTTCCGACCTCTGTAGTCTGTGATTTTTATGTTGTTGCAAAATTGCCAAAATATTTGACATCAATCAGACATCTCGATATAAAAGAAATACATCCCTAATCGAAAAACTAGATTTAACGGGCAAAAGTACTGCTTTGTCATGATTTGATTGGTTTTTGTAACAAATTTATTCACGGTATTACATAATCTCGAGAATAGAAAATAATCATGATTTTTGCATTTTTCGGTAGGATATCTCGAGAATCTTAGGTGATCAATCAATTCTTAAAGCAGATTCAATATCAGCGCATTGAATATATACGGAAATATACTATCGCATTTCTGGGTTATTTCAGATATAGGTCTGTGTAATTTCTATCATAATCTGTTATGATATAATTTTGAATTTCTTAACAGAAAAAAATTAACTTCTGTAGAGCTTGTACAAGAAATTTTTCCATATATCGGTACGAGTTTAGTAAATAAAAGTGGTAATATAATACATATATATTTCTAATTTATAGGTTCAATGAATAAATTATTCAAGTTCTTCTGAAAAATTATGCTATCTTCGACTTTCCAGTACCAAAACATATATAAGAAAACTTCCAGATAAAAATTCATTGCAATGACCTCTTGTACTTAATGACCACGAAGGCAGAAATTCTTATTATAAATCAGCCTTTCTTATGTATTTTTTACCGACAGTACATTGGATTTCCATCGTGTACAATGTGATATGAAATTCTTATTGTAACAATTAGAGAATACAGTATATAATAAGTTCCCTTGTTTCTTTTTCTGAAAAGTGCAAAGTAAAATAGTCAGTAATGACTGTAAAATAATTTACCCCTATAAATAGTCTAAAGTCATTTATTCCAAAAAGTACTTCAGTGTATCAGAGCTCAGAAACAAATATACTCCAGTATTAAGTATATATTATTACTTTAAATATATTCCTAGATATTAAGTATACCTTGGGGTTTTATCTTATTTATCATTTACATCATTTGAATGCTCTCTCGTTTCTGTACTATAATTCCAACCAAAGATATGAAACTTTAATAACTGACTAATTTTTCTCGTGGGTAGATAAAAGTATTACACTAGCACTGTTCACCTTGGATGACGATTCATGTGATTATATACAATCTCCGTCATATGGTTTTGTGCACTCCAGGCAAAAATTACGAGAGCTAAAAAGCTTTATTTCGCATCAGTAAAATGTCGTAGCTCAAAAAATCCAACAGTATTCGAAAGAGCAGCTGAAATATTTCAAGAAGTTCTACTGTAGAGTTAAAAATATTCAAACTTAATATAGGTTTTTATAGTTATTAGAAAGACATGAAAAAAGAAAAAATCTTGTCTCATTTTCAACCTATGCAGATTTAGTTTCCGGGAACAATAACTCAAAAAGCCAGCAGGGTTTGGAAGGCAATTTTTGTAGTTTTTAGATAAGGAGATTTTCCTAAAACTATTTTTTAACAAAGTTAGAGTATGTTTTATAAAAAAACACGTTTATTTAAACCCAAATATAATTAAAATTAGAAAGATACAGAAAAACTTCAAAAAGATAATAGGTGCGTTTTTACTTACAAAACGTAGATTTGAACAATAAATTTTTTTCCAATTTCTTATCATGTCGCAAAATTAAAAAAATGTTTAATAAAATCTAAGATAATGCAGTATTTTTTAATCATTCTATTCTATTATTCTGAACTTGGTTTTACTCTTAAACTTTTTTTGAAGTCCACTATATAAAAAAAAATGTGTTTTATTTCATGAAAAAAATTGATTAAAAACTATACTTTATTTAAAAATTTATCATTAAATTAATTATCCATTCTCTATCACTATACATTGATTCACTCAAATTTTATTTCGACAATGTTATTTTGCATGTTTATTACAATTGAAAGAAAACAACTTACGAGGTGTGTTCAAAAAATACCCGGAATTTTTAAATTTCGCGGGTCTGGAGAGTCCGATTGTCAAAATTTTTTTTTATTGTGTTGATATACATGCCCCTGAAGTATGATAAAATTTTCAGCTATATTCACTGTTTACTTTGTCTGCGGTAGTCGCTAAGGTTTGACGTGTTTTTATGAGCTCGGCGATTTTCGTTTTTTAAAAGAAATAGATCAAGGAAGTTGCTGATGAAGTTGGCATATCAATTGGCTCATATCATAACATTTCTTCAAATGTTTTGGGCATGAAACGGGTGGCAGCAAAATTCATTCCAAAACTACTGAATTTTGACCAAAAAAACAATCGCATAAACATCGCTCAGGAGTTGTTAAACGACGTCAACGACGATCCAAGTTTGCTTGAATGGGTCATAACTGGTGATGAAACACGGGTGTATGGTTATAATGTCGAAACCAAAGCACAATCATCCACCTGGAAGCATTCAACGTCACCAAGAGCGAAAAAAGCACGTCAAGTTAGATCAAATGTGAAGGTTTTGCTTACAGTTTTCTTTGACTGCAGGGCCGTGGTGCATCATGAGTTCTTATCACAAGGTCGTACGGTTAATCAAGAGTATTACCTTGAAGTTATGCGACGTTTGCGTGAAGCAATCCGAAAAAAACGCCCCGATTTATGGAAAAACAATTCATGGCTTTTGCATCACGATAACGCACCTGCACACTCGTCGTTGCTTGTTCGTAATTTTTTGGCCAAAAACAATAACGTAGTCGTGCCCCAACCTCCATATTCACCAGATATGGCTCCGTGTGACTTTTTCCTATTCCGAAAGTTGAAGAGACCCATGAAAGGACGGCGTTTATCCTCGATTGAAGAAATAAAGGCCGAATCGCTGAGAGTGCTCAAGGACATACCAAAAAGTGAATATCAAGAATGCTTCGAAGATTGGAAAAAACGCTGGCATAAGTGTATTATATCTGGGGGGGATTACTTTGAAGGGGACCACATTGATGTAAACGAATAAATATTTTTTTGGAAAAACGATAATTCCGAGTACTTTTTGAACACACCTCGTATATACTCACTTAATGTGGTATTGTTGACGAATATGAAGAATTAATATTATAAAAATATAAATAGTATAATTCTAATGCCTCAACCACTATATCGCGTATGTAATAAATTTTGTGTGAAAATGAAGAGGCTTTTATAACCTTAGTCCGCAATAGGTTTAATAATGAATATCGAAAATTGCCGGTGCTCTTCTAAGACGAAAATGGTCAACGTTATTATCTATGTAGCGTCGGAGTACTGAAGCGCTGGCCTGTTTTGTACAATCCGGTTTTCGGAGCTATGGGAAAGATGTCGGGTTACGGGTTAATTAATGCATTGGCATTTATTGATTATATACCAATATTATATTTTTAAAGTAAAATTTTTAACTAAATTTGATCTTTTATGTAACGTTTTTTAATATTTTTTCCTTATGAAAAAATAAAATAATATTATGAAGACAAATAACGTTATCAGAAACGTCCAGTGGTTAAACATTGCCGCATTGCTTCCGTAATCAGTAACAAAATGATAAATCAATCGTGGTTTGCACATTTATACTGGTAAATAAAAAAATAAACAACATATTGTCTTCAGTATTTTTATTTAATTAAATATTTATTTAAACGTAACATACTGTCTTAATTTCCTTATGATTTTTTAAATGATAAATTTTGTAATGATGGAAAGAAGGGAAATAGTGATAGATAGAAAATCACTTAATTTTAATTATATTCAGCAACGTTTCGTCAGCACATTTGCTGAC